TGATGGGGTAGCAGAGGAACGACGGGGTAGGGCAGGAACGAGGAGTCTTCCAGGGGCCCCGCCCCCCTCGCCACACTCCCCCGCACGCAGCGCCCCCCGCGCTGCCCCCTGTGAGGGAGCACGGGCCGGGGCTCCCGAGGCCACGCTCCCCCGCCCCCCCCCCCCCAAGAGATAAGAGCACTGGGCCCGCGCTGCCGAGGCCACGACCCCTCGAAGACGGGATGCCGGAGAGATCCAGGCACAGAAGCTTCCAGCGGGTCGCTGGGTCCAGGGGCACGCAGGCGGCGCCGGTGGGACCCGTGGAGCGGGAAGGGCACGAGGCCTCAGAGATAGCACGGTCGTCGGATGCCTGCCGCGGTCTGGCAGGGCCTGCCTGGCCGCGGTCCGGCGAGGCTGGGGGTGGCGGAGCGGAGCGGAAGAAAGGCCTCGGACAGCACTGCTGGGACTGGAGGGGTGGGAAGGGTGGACTCGGGACTGGGCAGGGGTGGGTGCGCATGCCATCGGAAGTCGTCAGGGCACGCAGAAGAAAAGCATCGAAGTCCGAAGGGCACACAGAAGGAGGGAGGAAAAGAAGAAGGAGGAGGAGGAGGAGGGAAGAAGACGATACCCTGGGCATGCATGAACCGATGTATTTCGGATAAGGAAAAGTGGGCCAACACTGCCGAGGCCAGGATGCCTCGTAGAACAATGTGGGCACATGCTCCTAGAGGCCACGATCTCCCGTGCAAAGAACGGGTGCGCGCTCCCAAGCTTCCAAGACGGCAGAGGCAGGCACCCAGTGCCTCCAGGACGGCACAAGGTGGCCCCAGCGCGGCCACAGGGATGGCCTCCAAGACAGCCCAGGAGCGCCGCGAAGATTACTCCAGATTTCGTAATAAAGGGAGGGGGGTCTCATTTCGGGGGGGGGGTCTCTTCCAGGCTATCTTGGAGGGCCTGGGGGGTCTGGGGACGATGTTTTGGAGGGTTCTCCCACGGGGGAGGTCTGAAATGGCTTGTCTTGGAGGGTCCAGACCTCCTCCCTTTTATTACGAAATCTGGAGTACCCCGAGTACGGCCCGAGGGGGGCGTCAGGCTCTTGAAAGAGCTGTGCGCCTTCGCCTCTCGGCCTTCCTTCAGCTCCGCACGGCCCTAGAAGCCTCCAAGATGGCCCCACGACGGCCCAAGAGGGTCCCAACATGAACCGATGAGCCTCCAAGGCGGCGTCAAGGCAGCCCAGGACGACCCCAAGAGAGCCCCAAGCTAGCCCAAGAGGGAGGGACCCAAGACGGTGTTAGAAAACCCCTAGACGGCCCAAGATGGTCCTACAACGGCCGCAGGAGATCCCCCAGACGGCCAAGAGGGCCTGACGACGGCCCAAGAGAAGCCTGAAACGGCCCAACGACGGCCCCAAGACGGCCTCACGACGGCCCCAAGACAGGCCAAAACGGCCGAAGGGACCCCCGAGACTGCCCCACAGGAGCCAAAGACAGCCCCAAGACGGCACAAACGAGCTCCCTGAGAGCTCCTTAAGAAGCGAGGCCGATAGATGTCAGATGTGACGACCGTCCGTTCCTCCTCCTTCTCCTCCTCCTCCTCCTCCTCCTCCTCCTCCTCATCCTCCTCCTCTTCCTCCTCCGCCTCCTCCTCATCCTCATCCTCATCCTCCTCTTCATCCTCCTCCTCTTATTCCTCCTCCTCTTCAGCAGCAGCAGCAGCATTATCATCGAGAGAGCGCGTTTCGCGGGCACTTGGGCACAAAGCATTCCTCGATACGTCGAAAACCACCCCCTCTCCTCCCCTCCACACACACACACACACACACACACACACACACACGCACACACCGTCGGACAAGGGAAAGGGAGGGCGGGCTCAACCACCCCTCCCCTTTTGGCACCAGTCGTCAACGTTTGCTGGCGGGCGCCAAGAAAGGGGGGGGGAGGCATCGTAGTCGTCGCTCGCCGGCGCCAGCCCCTCAAGCGACCGCGGATTCCCCCGTCCGCCAATCCTCCTCAGCTTCTCCTGCTGCTCCTCCTCCTCCTCCTCCTCCTCCTCCTCCTCCTCCTCCCCCTCCCCCTCCTCCTCCTCCTCCTCGGCACAGTCATCGCCACACTCATGTCACAACACCGACACGGCGCGGCAGAGCATGTCCAATGCGACAGCTCTCCCAAGCCTCGCGACGCGAGGTGTCGCGCGCTGCGGCTTCTCGTCTATCGACACCCAAGGTGATGGGCTGGCACGGCGACGGGACTTGCCGCAGGCAGTTGGATACATCTATTCAGGCTACGCCTGCTCTGCAACCTCTTGGCCTATCTAGAAGACGAAGACAAGACATAAGTATAAACTGTCGGAGGTCCCTGCGAACCTCCGAAAGATCATGTTTATATACCGTCTCTTTTTCGAGTGTGCTTGCTCAGGCTGCGCATGCTCTGCACCTATTGCTAGCCTCCAGCCTCCTAGGCGAGCTAGCCAGGCATCCGACATCGTGTCTTTTACAACGTGGCTCCCCTGAGGGAGGTCTCGACCCCTTCCACGGAACCGGCGTTTCATCTCGAGGCAATTCTCAACTGTCCCGGAGCAAAGTGAGGGCCCCCAGATGCCCAAGAACTCCACAAAACAACCAAAAACGTTCGTCCTGTTTTTCTCTCACGGTTCGACGACGTCAGGACCTCGCTAGCCTCCAGCCTCCAGAGTGAGCTGTGCCGTCTGCTGGCGGCGGTCGAGAAGCTCGAACTTCGGGCCGCGCTTCCCGACTGGGGCGCCGGCCGCACACCCCGACCGCCAAAAAACAATCAGAAAAAATGTGCTCGACGCGCTGCGAGCTTCGAATGCGATGTGCCCAGAGGTTGCTCTTTGTCCTCCCTCCTGCTCCTCCTCCTCCTCCTCCTCCTCCTCCTCCTCCTCCTCCTCCTCCTCCTCCTCCTCCTCCTCCTCCTCCTCCTCCTCCTCCTCCTCCCCCTCCTGCTCATCCTCCTCCTTCCCCCTCCTCCCCTCTCCTCCTCTCGCCTCCTCTCCTCCTCCTTCCTCCTCCTCTCCTCCTCCCCTCCTCCCCTCCTCCCTCCTCCTCCTCCTCCTCCTCCTCCTCCTCCTCTCCTCCTCCTCCTCTCCTCCTCCTCCTCCTCTCCTCTCCTCCTCCTCCTCCTGCTCCCTCCTCCTCCTCCTCCTCCTCCTCCTCCTCCCCTCCTCCTCCTCCTCCTCCTCCTCCTCCTCCTCCTCCTCCTCCTCCTCCTCCTACTCCTCCTCCTCCTCCTCCTCCCTCCTCCTCCTCCTCCTCCTCCTCCTCCTCCTCCTCCTCCTCCGCCTCCGCCCGTCCGCCTCCGCCTCCGCCTCCGCCTCCTGCCGCCCTCCTCTCCTCCTCCTCTCTCCTCCTCCTCCATCCTCCTCCTCCTCCTCCTCTCTCCCCCTTCCCTCCTCCTCTCTCCTCCTCCTCCTCATGCCTCCTCCTCC